CAACGTGGATGGACCTCGAGATAATCATGCTAAGCGAAATAAGCCAGACAAAAAGTTGAAAATCACATGATATCACTTATGTGTGGGATATAAACCTAAAAACAACAAATTAACGGGACAAACAAACAGACCCATGGCCATGGACAATAGACTAGTGGTTACCAGAGAGGGTAGGGGAGGAGTGGGGAGGTAGACAGCGTAAAGGGGGTCAAATATAGAGGAGTAGGGGGCAGGTGAAGTGGGTAAAGGGGATGAAATATATGGTAGCAGAAGGTAACTAGACTTTGGGTGGTAAACACACAATAGACCATGGCCATGGACAATAGACTAGTGGTTACCAGAGAGGGTAGGGGAGGAGTGGGGAGGTAGACAGTGTAAAGGGGGTCAAATATAGGGGAGTAGGGGGAAGGTGAAGTGGGTAAAGGGGATGAAATATATGGTAGCAGAAGGTAACTAGACTTTGGGTGGTAAACACACAATAGAATATACAGATGTCAAATGATAATATACACCTGAAAATTATATAATTGTATTAACTAGTGTTACCCTAATAAACAATTAAAAAATCACAACTCCCCCCCCCAAAAAAAAAGAACCCCACCAAATCCTCATTTTTTTCCCTGACATTTAAAAGGGAAGACTAATCTTCAGGAGCATATATTAAAATAACTATGCCTGTTTTTTTTGTGTGTGTTCCCTACAGCCTAAACAAATACTAGAAATACTAGATTAATTTCAACTTTCCTATCCTTAACTTTCCTTTCAAAACTTCCTTTTTATTCCACAAATCAAAGTAGAACCCTTTGCTTCTCTTTCTCTTCTTGCCTTAGACTTCCACCTTGTGGTAGCTCTTCAGTGACAGATAATGAGCAGACAGCTATCCTCTCCCGTTTTGGGGGTGGTAATTCATTGGTAACATAGGTCATCTTAAAAACCAGATCCATCTTCAGTTCTCTGGCTGCTCTGATTCTGGATTCTAGCTTTTAGGGTAGAGCCACAGTGAATATGGGATGATTTGCCTTTTGCCATTTGACTTCTATCAAAAGTAAAACAATCTTAGAATAAAGAAACGTCTGTTTTGGCAGGTGATTCTTAATTGCTGTGTTATTCTATGTGGTTTTAAGAAATTGTTCTTATTGTTATCATAGCAGCATCATTAGTAATACTCCTATTATGATAATTGGCTAACATTTGAACACGTAATGATAATAATAGGTAATAATAAGTTATTTCGGGTACCATTTAAGTGTTTTATGTAAATAAACTCAATAAGTTAACAATGAAAATAATTATCTACAGTCTTTTCTTAATTTTCTATTTGTGCATTTGCACATTGACTATTTCTTCCTTGGTATACTGATTTGATTATTTAAGTATTTAGCTGTTTTCTTTGGACATCGAGTACTGCAGATTGTTCATGACCAAGTAGTTTTATTTTTACATCTCACTCTTCTAGGGGGAAATGCTACCCAATCCATCAGATTATAAATCCTCACTCATAGCATTGACTGCTCATAACTGGCTACTTCGCATATCAGCAACTACGGGAAAAGTCCTTGAGAAAATATATCTCGCTTCGTATTGCAAATTCAGGTATTATCTGTGACTTTATTATTTAAGGTTTTGTTATAGGAATTTGAGACTTGTGGCTCAGGACATTTCAAGCTGTCTCTGGTTAGTTTTGTTTTGTTTTCCATTATATATCTGGATCTCAATTTATAAGCCTATTCTCATTTTCTCTCCTCATGACTGCATTTGAAGATCTGAGGATAGAGACCCCTTATAATTTTCTTTATAGCCCTCATAAGTAACTAACCTATAGTAGCTGGCAAATAAAAATTTCCTGAGTTTCCCTTCTACAAATAGTATTTTATATGTAAGATGTGCTGTATGGTAGATTTTCCTGAAAGCTAGTCTGTTTCAGTTAAATTACCTGCCTAGTACGATCTTTAGTTGTTATTAATTTTATAAATAAGATGTAAATTTTTGGAGTGAATATGTGCATTCAAAATGTGAAAGTAACATTTTTAATGCTTTTTTAAACTTCCATTTTAAAGCAAGAATGATTATTTTGTTTTCTAAGTTTTGAATACTGTTATATCAATTTTTATTCATTGAAATTCTAGAAGGATTAAAATTATATATTTTATAGGAATATATTCATATAAGCACCTGGAGGTAATTCTTTTATTTATTTATTTTTATTTATTCATCCATTTATTTATTTGTTTTTAGTTATTTATTTTTAAAATAAATTACTTTGCTTTTATAATTTAACTAAAAAACTTTATTTATAAGATAGCTATTATATTTTGATTTTAAGTATAAGGTAACTGACCCAAATGAATAAACTTCTTTTCATTCTTTTAAAAGATATTTGAGCTGGGATACTCCTCAAGAAGTCATTGTAGTCAAGTCAGCTCAGAACAAAAGTTCGGCATTGGCCCGGCAGGTAAATATCTTTAAATAGTCAGTAAAATAAAGAATTTATTTCCATAGGAATTTCTTTGCGGATTTGACATGAAAGAACTAATGATCTTTGTTTTCTGAAGCATGCTATAAAAGTTGTTTACCACAAATTTAAGAAATTCCCCTCAAGCCACTGTGTGGTAGTACAACAGATTATTTTACATTCCATAGTGGAAAGAAATTGACTGGACCTTCTTCAAAGTAAGGAACTAATCTTCTTCAAGCAAAGAAATCACTCGAGCTTTTGTTGTCAATACATTTTTTTTTTCATTTCATATAGATATGTCAGTATAACACTGCATTCAGATGATATGACCATGATAACTATGTATCTTTCAGTTAGGTTCTTTATTGTAGAATTCCAATTTACCATATACATTTTTAATAATATATTACACTAAAATACATTAATTTGTATTATATTAATATAAATCATATATACTAATTTATATTACATAGTAACATATTACATAAGCTATATTTTGTTATACAGTATGTAAAACATGGTTTTGTCGTATGGTATATAAAATATATTTTGTTGCTAGGCAATGTTTAATGTTATTTTTACTTTTATAAATTTTTGTGTTTGTGCATGTGTGTGTCTGAAAGGCTGAACGTTTAGTATACAAGTGTTTTATTAATGGTGGCATTGGTTAACGAAATCTAATAAGTTTCAAGTGTATAGTTTAACAGTAAGTCATATGTATATCGCATTGTGTGTTCACCCCCCATAGCTAAATTTCTTTCTGTCATCACATGTTTGACCTCTTTTACCCCATCTACCTCCTTCCTCTTCCCCTACGCTGTGGTAATCACTAGTCTACTGTGCATGTCCATGAGTCTCTGTTTGTTTATCCTGTTTGTTTGTCGCTTTTAGATTTATATCTCACATACACATATAAGTGATATCATATGGTTTTCAACTTTTTCTGTCTAGCTTATTTTGCTTAGCACAATTATGTCAGGATCCATCCATGTCGTCGCAAATGGCAGCATTTCATCTCTTCTTATAGCTGAGTAATATTCCATTGTAAACATGCACCACATCTTTTCCAGGTCATCAATTGCTTCCATTTCCTGGCCACCGTGAATAATGCTGCTATGAACACAGATGTGCAAATATCTTTTCAGATATGTTTTCAAATCTTTGGGGTAAATACTCAATAGAGGGATTGCTGGATTATATCGTAGGTTAATTCTTAGTTTTTTGAGGAACCCTCCATACTGTTTTCTATAGTGGCTGTACCAACCTGCAGTCCCACCAGTAGTGTATGAGGTTTCCTTTTCTCCACATCCTTTCCAACACTTGTTATTATTTGTCCTGTGGAAAATAGCCATTCTAACAGATGTGAGATGGTATCTCATTGTAGTTTTGATTTGCATTTCCCTAATAACTAGTGATGTTGAGCATCCTTTCATATGTTTGTTGGCCATTTGTATGTCTTCTTGGGAGAATTGTCTCTATCAGGTCCTATGCCCATTTTTTAATTAGATTGTTTATTTTTTTGTTATTGAGTTGTATGAGTTCTTTGTATATTTTGGATGTTAAGCCCTTATCAGAGGCATTGCTTGCAAATATATTTTCCCAACTGCCTTGTTGACAGTTTCATTTGTTGGGGAGTAGCTTTTTAGTTTGATATAGTCCCATTCATTTATTTCAGCTTTTACTTCCCTTGCCCTTGAGGTCAAATTCAAAAAATCCTCTTTAAGTCCAAGATCCTTGAGTTTTCTTCCTATGCTTTCTTCTATGCAATGTATTGTTTCAAGTCTTATATTCAGGTCCTTAATCCATTTCGAGTTAATTTTGGTGTGTGGTGATAGACAACAGTCTAATTTCATTCTTTTGCAGGTAGCTTTCCAGTTTTCCCAGCACCATTTGTTGAAGAGGCTTTCCTTTCTCCATTGTATGCTTTTGGTTCCTTTGTCAAAAATTATTTGCCCGTATAAACGTGGGTTTACTTCTGTATTCTCGATTTCGTTCCACTGGTCTGTGTGTCTTTTTTTCCGCCAAGGCTATGCCGTTTTGATTACTTGATTACTGTAGTATAATTTGAAGTCGGACCGTTCATGAGAGATATTGGTCTGTAGTTTTCTTTTTTTGTGTTATCCTTACCAGATTTTGGTATCAGAGTAATACTGGCCTCATAAAATGAATTGTCAAGTATTGCCTCTTCTTCGATTTTTTAAAAGAGTTTGAGCTAGAATATGTATTAAATCTTCTTTGAATGTTAGGTAGAATTTACTGGTGAAGTCATGTGGTCTTGGACTTTTACTTTTTGGTAAGTTTTTGATGATTGTTTCAATTTCCATACTGCTGACCAGTCTATTTAGATTTTCCAGTTCTTGATTCAGTCTAGGAAGATTATATATTTCTAAGAACTTGTCCATTTCTTCTAGCTTATTAAATTTGGTGTTATATAATTTTTCATAGTATTCTTGTGTGATCCTTTATATTTCTTCAGTATCTGTCATAATCTCCCTTCTTTCATCCCTGATTTTGTTTATTTGTGTCCTTTCTCTTTTTTCTTTAGTGAATCTAGCCAGGGGTTTGTCAATTTTATTAAACTTCTCGAAGAAACAGCTCTTTGTTACATTTATTTTTTTTCTTTTTATTTGTTCTTGATTTCATTTAATTCTGCTCTAATTTTGATTATTTCTTTCTTTCCGCGGATTTTAAGCTATATTCTTTTCTAGTTTTTAAAGATGAAGTGTTATGTTGTTTATTTGGGCTTGTTCTTGTTTTTTTGAGATAGGCCTTTAATGATATGAACTTTGCTCTTATGACCACTTTTGCCATGACCCAAAAGTTTTGATGTATTGTTCTGTCATTGTCATTTGTATCTCTTGATCTTTTTTTTTCTGTGACCCAGTCATCTTCAGTAGCATGTGGTTTAATCTCCATGTATTTGTGGTTCTTCCTGCTTGCTTTTTACAGTTGATCTCCAGCTTCAAAGCATTATGATCAGAGAATATGATTGGTATGATTTCAGTCCTTTTATATTTGTTAAGGCTAGCTTTGTGTCCCAGCATGTGGTTAATCCTTGAGAATGTTCATGTGCACTAGAGAAGAATGTATAAGCAGCTATTTTGAGATGAAAAGCTCTGTAAATGTCAATATGTCCAGTTGGTCTAGTGTGTCATTTAAGGATATTTCCTTACTGATTTTCTGTTTGGATGATCTGTCTATATCTAACAGTCAGGTATTCAGGTCCCCTTACTATGATAGTGTTTTGGTCTGTTTCTTTCTTTAGTTCTGTTAGTAATTACTTTATATATTTCGAGTTCCCTAATTGGGAGCATAAATATTAATAAGTGTTATGTCTTCTTGGTGTATGATTCCCTTTATCATTATGAAATGTCCCTCAGTATCTTTCTTTACCTTATTTTGAAGTCTGTTTCATTTGATATTAGTACTGCTACTCCCACTTTTCTCTGAATGTCATTTGCTTGAATTATCATTTTCTACCCTTTCATTATGAGTCTATATTTGTCTTTGGAGCTAAGATGTATCTCCTGGAGGCAGCATATGATTGGGTTTTATTTTTTGATCCAATCTGCAACTCTGTGCCTTTTTATTGGTGAGTTCAGTCCATTTACATTTAGGGTGGTTATTGAAATATGAGGTATTCCTATAGCCATTTTATCTTTTTCTTTCCAGTAGCTTGGTGTATCTATTGCTTCCCTGTTCTTCTGTTTCTGGTCTGTTGGGTTTGTTCGTTCGTTCGTTCGTTTGTTTGTTTGTTTGTTTGTTTGTTTGTTTTAATTTGGTTGGGGTTTGTGGATTTTCTCTCTGGTCCTTCTTGTTTAATGTTATGTACTTCAGTTCTGGATCTTTGGCATGTGATTACCATTACAAATATATAAAGGGTAGTTATATATATACAGTAGTCCATTTTCTTCTGCATGTGTCTTATCTCCATTTTCTTTTGCGAATTTGAATCTTTGATTCCTCCTCTTTTCTGTTATTATTGTCCCAAATTACCTCTATGTATTCTGAATGTTCATATCTATCTTGTATTATCAATTATCTTATTGTTTAAGCTTATGATACCGTGTTCTTTTGCAGTCCTCTGCTTCAGTCTACCTGCTAGTCATAGTTATGTAATTTTTTTGTCATTTTGTTTCACGTGGGCTGACCTCTTTCAGTATTTCCTGTAATGCAGGCCTTGTAGTGGAGAACGTTTGTATGTCTGGAAAGGTCTTTATTTCTCCTTCTCTAAAGGATTGCTTTGCTGGATACATTATTCTTGGATGGTAATTCTTTTCATTTAATAGCTTGAATATTTGGTTCCACTCCTTTCTTCCTTATAAGGTTTGTGCTGGGAACTCAAAGATAGACTCATGGGTTTTCCTTTATAAGGTTACCGTCTAATTTTCCTTGGCTGCCTTGAGAATTCTTTCTTTGTCATTAATTTTTGATAATTTTAATAAAATGTGTCTTGGAGAAGGTCTTTTTGCGTTGAGATAATTGGGTGTTCTGTTAGCTTTTTGGATTCGAAGTTCCCGCTCATTCCTTAGATTTGGGAAATTCTCATCCACTATTTGTCTGATAATGCTCTTTGATCCCTTCTCTTTTTCTTCTTCTGGAATACCCATTATTCTTAAGTTTCCTTTCCTGATGGTGTCAGCTAGTTCTTGTATTTCTCTTTCATTATTTTTTATTTTTTGGTCTCTCTCTCCTTTTTTCTGAATTATTTCTCGATTTCTGTCTTTGATATCACTGATCCTTTCCTCCATTTGGTCAACTCTATTTCTTAAGCTTGCTATTTCATTCTTCATCTTTTACTGTGTTTTTCATCTCTAGGAGTTCTCTCTTTTTTTTTTTTTTTAGGGTTTCAGCCTCCTTGCTGAAAAACTGATTATACTGATCTAGTTTTTTTTCCCTCAGCTCCTGGAATTGTTGATGTGAATTATTTTGGATTTCACTGAGTGTTTTCAGAAGTACAAGCCTAAATTTTCTGTCGTTTAAGTTGCATATTTCTATGTCTTTAAGCTTATTTTCTGGAGATTTTTCTCTTGCTTTCTGAGCTGCCTTGTCACTTTGGTTATTCATGGTGTTAGATGGCTAATTCTCTACCTGGGCATTAACGGGAGTGTATTTTGCTTTTTTTTTTTTCCCCCAGAAAGATTTGTTACATAGAGGTCTCTCTTTAGCGTGTTGCTAAGGTGTTTTTCTTTTGGTTTCCAGTTGGTGGCGTCCAAGCCTCTTGGATCCCTGCTTTGAGTCTTAATGCTTTTTCTTATAAATTTCAATCACTGTCACTGTTCTTGGTCTCAATCCCTGTCAGTGTTAGCGACAGTTTTGATAGCGTTTGCTTAAATTCTCCTGGGGCTCTGCAGTGTTCGGTTTTGGAGGATATGGTTCGGGGGAGGATGCCCTCTAGGTTGGTGGGTGGGAGTTACTGCTGTCTCCATGTCTCAGCCTCTCACTTTACAACCACAGCTGCTAAGACCCAGTTGTTGCCCCTCTGCAGTTAGTCCCCACTCCACTTTCTGCCCTCATCTCTGGGCTCTGCTGCGTGGAGCTCACAGCTCTCTTAGGGCTGTTGGGGAGAACTGGCCACAACTTCTCCCCTTCCCCCCTTCTCCTGCAGGGAGCTCCAGGCTGCGAGAGGCAGCTGCTTTTTTCCTCCCAATCTACTGCCCCACTCCTACGGTTCTGACCTGTGGTAGCTCTTATACACAGATCGCTTACTCCGATGTGCTTATGTGCAGGTTGGGTGTTATTTGTTGAGTTGTAGATGTTCAGCTTATTGTTATTTCAAGGGAAGAGATCTGGGGACATCTCTCACTCCACCATGCTTCTGACATCGCTCTTTTGACATATTTTGAATATGTCTGCCTTCCTGTGTAACTAACTTCACAATGTGGATAGATGGATATTTTCAATTCATAAAACATCTGCATAACTTCATGCTAAGACAGGTAGATGTTTTAAACTCATGAAATATTCTTGAAATATAGAATATTCTGAAATACTCTTGAGAGCAACCTGTAATTTTAGTTTTTCCTTATAGGCAGGCATTCAACAACCTGTTTTGCTGTACCTTGCAGTGTTCCATGTTCTACCTTTTTCACTCATAGGGATTCTAGAGATCAGCAAAAAGGTAAGAACTCATTTCTGATTTAATTGCAACATTAATTTTTGAAAATAAGATGTAATGTCATCATTTAATTATTTGCTTATTAGGTGTTTTGATTCCAAATGTTCCCCTGACTGTAAAAAGCTTTCTGACCTAGTTTATTTTATATCAAAATACGTGAGAACATTAGACATGGGAAGAAAGCCTAATCATCCCTTCATCTTTCTGCATGTTTTTATGCCTCTCAAGTAAATGGTGTAGAATACCTGTGTTCATTAACAAACCACTATTTTATAAAATTATGAAATGAGTGAAGTATTTCTTTTTAGAGAGATATTCTAAAGCTTGTGATCATTAAAGGTGAAAAGCAACAAAATGTCTCATTTTAATTGCAAATATAGATAAAACATGTTTTATGATATATAAACAAGCCTTATAACATGTAAATTTTCCAACTCATTCAGTTTTGTTGTTGCCATTCTTCTTGATTTGTGGGGTGGTTATATAGGGGGAAAGAAAAGACAAATTCCTTTGAACAAAAAAATCAGCAGTCTCCTACTACTTTAAAATTTGTTACTTATTCTGGTAAATAGTTATTTGGTGGTCTCTTTAACTAGTCTTTAACCAAGCACCTCTATAAGAGGACAGATCTTGAGGATTCACTAATACTCGTTAGTCAAACAAGATGAGTGTATTTTTAAAAGTTTCTGCTATATAAGCATAATACACTAATCTACATAAAAACTAAAGAATAATATTACTTATTGTTTGTTTTGTACCAGGCAGTTTGAGTATTTTATAATATTGTAACATATAACATATTCAACTAGGAAGTTAAGCAGGTTCTAAGTAAATGGAGGAGCTGGACTTTTAACCCAGATTTGACTCCGAAGTATAATCCATATTTTAAAATAGAGTGGGCTACTTTATTATAGCACTCATTATTCGTAACTATGTTTGTATTACACAAATATTTCCTTCAAAATAGGAAAGGAGAATCAGTGAATAAAAAGTCATTAGCTAGTCAAAATCATAGCAAACCATAATTTACCTTCTAAGAGATGATCTAAACACACAACTGATGAATATAATTGTTCTCTTTGTGTTTGTGGATTAACTAATTATGTATGCTTATTATAGTCCACAACAGGAATGAACACTTAGCTAAGTCATAAGTTTCTATTCTCACATACCTAAGATTATCATTTGAGGGATTTGGTTTTTATTATGGTTACTTGGAATCGAAGTATGTTTATCACTTACCATGCATAATAAGGCTAGCAGGGGCCAGGTTTAGAATGCACTTTATAGCTATTATTTCTAGGTCTTTCACGGCTATGAATATTTGTCGATTTTGGCTTTTGTTGAGTATTAAAATAGGCACAGAATCAACTTCTTTATCACAGCTCTATGGAGACTCACGACAGGGTCTATTGCATAGAAGAGAAAAAAGAAGGGGAATAATGAACCAAAGACTTACTCAAGGTCAGCTAGACTAAATGGCTCAGTAGGTGTTTGGTCTTTAACATGTTTGGTTTTTATATGACTGAAAAATTAAACAGATTTAAAGGACAAGGTAATGATAAAATTCTGGAGTTGGCCATTTTTCATTAGAATTACTTTCTTAGATACAGTCTTTCCCTCCTCTAATTAGCTAAAAAATAAGTGTCTTTGTAAATAACATTTTAGCATAAAAAATAAGTCCCTGGCAGGATATATATGATAGAGTAAATACCCATTTAGAATTAGATGGACTCAGTCAGTGTAAGCCTCTTCGTGTATGTATCCATGAGGAATAAGATTTACTATTAAAAGATATTGACAAAACTGTGAAACAAATGGGTAAAGCAAATGAATGCTGCTGGATCATTCTGAGGTGTATGTGCCATATTCCCATTAATGCTCCAGTTTGTGACTCCAGTGGCTTGCCACTTACACTAATAACACCTTAGTTTCAAGTTCCTAAGTTATAACTAAGTTATAATACTAGGCAGCAGTGTTGTAGTGGTGGCCCGAATATGAAGCAAGTGCATAAACCACTATAAACATTCAGAGGGTTGGCCTTCCAGTCTTAGGTGATATCTGCCTCTCCCCTCAGGTTTTCGGGAATGTTACAGATGCTACCTTATCTCATGGAATACTGATTGTGATGTACAGCTCAGGACTGGTCAGACTCTATAACTTCCAAGCCATCACTGAACAGGTAGAGAAAACTAGAATTCTCCATATTGTAATTAACTTGAGGTTTGGACCGAGGTATGTTTTTTAATGAGGTACTTCTAGAGGAAGGTACTTGTGTAAATTTCAACTCTACAATACTGTATAAATGCAGAAAGACAAAATAACCTTTAATGGAGGGGTGGGGAGATACACAGAAAGGCTCTTGAATAAATGGAGACATTTTCTCTGCCATATACATGTGAATTTTATTTTTTAATCTCTCCAGACAGCAAATAAGTAGGTGCTAAAGACACCATTTTTGTTTTGTTTTGTTTTAGTTCATGCAACAGAAACTTGACTTAGGGTGTGCATGCAGATGGGGTGGGACTACTGGAACTGTAGGAGAGGCTCCTTTTGGCATTCCTTGTAATATTAAAATCACAGGTATGGCTACTATATAGTATTTTTTCCACCTTAAATAATAAGTGGTCATATAAATAGTTATTAATTGTAATTATCAAATGTCTTTCTCATAATCTAATTACAAACTAAATTCATTTTACTCCTATACAGCATATTCCTTGCTATTGAATAGGTGTTAACAAAAATCTAGCACTTATTCATTGAACTGAAGGCCTGGAGATACTGGGCATTGCTTGGCCAGAGATTGGTGACCTTTGGCAAGTCACTTTACCTCTCTGATCTTGATTTCCTTATTGGCAAAATAAGGAGTTGCAGCAAATCCTACCATCTTTGCTCCCTTATCACTTAATATTTTATAACTGTAAAATTTAACCCACTTTTAAGAAAGGTATATTCCAAGGAAAATATAATTACCATTCCATCTGAACATAGAGCTTAGACACAGAGAGAATCCCCTCGTATACTTAAAGGTTGACAAAGCACAAAAAAGAAAATTATATACAATTCTATAAATATAAAATAAAAACGTTCTATATTTAGCTTATCAAATTCAGCAATTTAATAAAAAAGAAATCAACTTACTCAAGTGAAGCACTATATGTTAAAAGAAACCATGACTGACCATAGTTCATCTTAGGAATACAAGGATAATTTAATGTTTGCAAAGAGATAAAAATCACATGAATAAATTTAAACATAAAATTATTTTGTGATTCTAATATCTGTTCATCTTTATTTTTAATTCATTAAGAGTCATTCATTATCATGTTGAGGATGTTTCCTTTTATTTCCAACTAAAAAACATCACATTTTTAGGTGAAACGCCAAAGGGTTTTCTAATGTAGGCAGAATAAGACAGTTTTTTTCTATTATTTAACATTGCATCATCAACAGATCAAGAAACAGAAATAGAATATTGTTAGGAGATGTTCTTAGTAATAAATGACAAACTATAAACACTACTCAGCATTCAATATAACCAATTAAGGTATCTAAGAAGTACAAAATAAATATTCAAAACACTACTCCAGTTTTTAAATGCGTTGAAACAGCTGATTACAGTTTTGTAAAAGTTCAGCCTAACAGTACTTCCTATATTCAATACAAATACACCAGCAAGAACCTATTAAGAATTTAAAAACTACAGTGTCTAATGGTAACTAAAATTAGTTATTTTGAAAAGAATTTTCCAAAATAATAGCATCGTTCTTATTGAAATGCAGAGAATAAGTGAGTAAGACAAAGAACCGGGAGATAAAGACAAAGCACATAGAGTTTGAAGGATTGTAACATGGATTAGGTAAGTCCCTATTATAGAAAGATAACTGGATTTGGGATCAGAATTTTGGTCTGCTAGAGTAAAAGTAAAACCTGGCTACTAACTGGTAGTGTGATGGTGGGCAAATTACTTAACCTCTCTATGCTTCACTTTTCTCAACTTTAAAATAATGATGTTTTGAAAACATGATCTGTGAAATCACTTGTCATTGTAAAACAGTGTAAATCAGTGATTTTTGGATATTTGGCTAAGAAAAGTAGCATGATTATTGGAAAGTGTGAGTGGTTTTTTTTTTTTTCAATCTGTAGAGACTGAAATCCTATTTATTTCTCCAGATTTGGTTTTTAGGATCTTTAAGGTCTGTACAAAAAAATAAACTCATTTTAACTTTAAATTAACTTTTTTCTTAATACAAAGCAGTTCATTTTTATTAAAGAAAAATTAGAACGTAAAGGTAAATGAAATAGAGAAAAATTTAAAAACTCAAAGTTCTCCTGTATGGAGTTAACTGTTATGTTATCATCTTAGTGTGTTTTTTTCTAATCTTATAATCTGGATATTTCTGTATGTCTAAAACCAAAAAGAATCATGCTGTAAATACTCTTTCATAACTCACTTTTTAAAAAATCAACTCTGTCAAAGTATAATTTATATGCATTTAAATGTCCTCATTTTAATTGTATAATTTGAGTTCAACCAAATGTATATACCCATGAAACCACTACTGCAATCAAGATTTAGAATCTTTTCATCACTCCAGAATGTTCCTATGTTTCCTTCCCAGTTTCCTCCCTGACACCAGCCTTAGGCAACCAGTGATCTGCTTTATTTCACTATAGATTAAATTTACATTTTGTAGAGTTTCATTTAAATTGTACTTTTTTGTCTGGCTTCTTTCTCTTAGTATATTTTTCAAATTCATTTTATATTGTTACATGTATCTGTAGACTAACTCACTCTTAAATGTTAATATATTACAAATATTAATTTCCACCTATTCCATTATATTATTTAATAGATGGTCTTGTGAAAACTAAAGTTGAAGTCTTATCTCACTCTTTACACCAAAATAAATGATAGATGGATCAAAGATTTAGATGTTCTATAAGAAAACTTAGGAGAATCTTTTTACTTCAGAGTAGGGAAGACCTTTCTAAGTATGGCACAAAACCCAGAGCCATAAAAGAAGAGATTACAAGTTTGGTTACATAAAAATAAAAGTTCTTCATGGCCAAACCATCAAAAACACAACATAAACCAACAAAAACAACAAACAGGACACATTGCAAAACATACTATAAACTGCTAATTTCCTCAGTACGTAAAGAGGTTTACAGATCAATAAGAAAAAGTGACATAACAGAAAAAATGAGCAAAGGTTATTGTTCCAAAGAAAAGGAAGTTTAAATGGCTTTTCATTAGAGGAGAGCAAATCCCAATGTTACTATTAAGAAAAATGCAAATTAAAATATTCATAAAATACATCTTTTCAGATTTTCAGTTATCAAAAAGATAACAGGATTGTTGAAGGTATAGAGTAAACACTTTCATTTACTGGTGGGGCCATTTATAGAAGACAGTTTTGTCAATTCAGTATGTATTAAAATTTTAAATGCATACATGCCTTGTGTAGTTCCATTTCTAAGAACTTATCCTAAATATATATATCCTAGTCACATGTGTACAAAATGGTAAATGTAACTATGCCATATATTTTAAAGTTACAGAAAAATTATATCCTATTATAGTCATTCTATAAATAATCATTCTGTACACTATAAGTTAAAACTCTCCTTTAAAGTATCATTGACCTTTTGCAGACTCAAAGCATTATAATTAATAATAGTTATTTCATTTTTAATGCCTCTTTTTACAGTCTAGCCAGTAGCCTGCTCTCTTATTCTTTTAACACTACCCTGACATCCTTGTAAATATACTTCATAGTGACAGCTAAATGTTTCATGCCTATCCAAAAGTTTCCTCAACACAAATGTGGAATCAGCTACTCTCTGAAGACTTTTAGGACATTTTTTTAAATTGAGAATAGTATTAGAGATTAAAATTTGGGCACTTGGGGTTAGCAGGGACTCATCATAATTGTAATGAGCAGAGTCTGTCTTCTGCTATTTTGGGGCCATTTTTAGAAGTTAGTGGGGAAATATGGGGTTTTTCATATTTTTCTTACTACTTAAAAAGACCTCTTTACATATTAAGAATATAACCATTTTCCTAAAAGATTAAAAAAAGACCTCTTTATGTATATTCGATATGTTTGTACATGTCTCTTCAAGATTGTCAGTCTGTGAACTCTTCAGTATTTGTTTTTTTCCTATGTATAGCACTAAGTAGTAAATCGTCCTTATGAACAGACCTAATAAAGCACACGTTTTGTAACATGACTCTTGAGCGAATCGTCTCCCTAAGACGAGCCCCTTTGCTGACAGTGGCAGCCTCATAAACCAACGATTAAACTCTCAAGTTAAAGAGGTAAAGGAGTCATAGGTTAGCTACCTGCCCAAGCAGGCCTTGTGATGTTTCACAAGGGCTGCTCGAAAGGAATTCTGGTCTTCTAAAGCAGCTGTACATCCAATTATGCTTTCTTCTGAGAGTAAATCTGTTACACTCTACCTAAAATTGTCATGAAACAAGACTACTAAGAAGTAACGATAGGTACAGGAATACCTTGGAGATGGGGGTTCAGTTCTAGTCCACCGTAACAAAGTGAGGATCTCAAAGCAAGTCGTAATCTTTTTGCTAGTGGAGTTTGTAAAAAATGCAACACCTGTGAAGCACAATAAAGCAAAGCACAATAAAATAAGGTATACCTATATTTCTTTTATGATGTCAGTCTCCAAAGGACAATGACTAGATATATCAAACTACCTTAAGGTTAACTTGTCTAATGATAATAATGGTATTGGCTATGCTTTAATAAAACTTCCACTGTAACAAGACCTATCCTAAGTGGTTACATTCAGTGTGACTAATATCACTTCTACACAGGAAATCTTAAGCAAGACTGTTCCTGTGAAGTTTGCTAAGTAAAACCTGTTAGTCTAGAATATGAAAGATGTGTTCCTCACCTTTGAAGGAATCATTAGACCTTAATTACCTTTTAAGATTATTATGAGAGCTAGAAATAATCTCTAACCCAGAGTTTTGTACACTGATGCGTAGTAAATGGCAGCTGGTTGTATTGGGTGTACTGTGTCATTTTTGCCACCATAAGCTCTTCAGCCCACATTTTATCTCGACTCAGCTACGGTCACACATACTCTGAAAAAAAAGTGGCTAGAAAATTGACTTACAGCCTAACATTTGTTTCCTACCAGATTTCTCTTTTCTTAGCAATAAGTCTCTTTCCTGGTTATATTTTATTTCCTTGAACATAGTAATTTTTCATTAATAGAAACTCATAGATGATACATGCAAAGAAAGTTTGAATTCAGTTAATGAATGTTCCCAGGCTACCAGAACAGAGAAAGCTAACAAATTCCTTTTGCCCATCTCTATAGATACACCACCACTGCTCTTTGAGGTATCTTCCCTGGAGAATGCCTTTCAGATTGGAGGCCACCCTTGGCACTATATCATCACACCTAACAAGAAGAAACAGAAAGGAGTTTTCCACATTTGTGCCCTTAAAGACAATTCCTTGGTAAATCATGAGTGATCAGACCTTTTAATAAATTTGTATCAGAAATCTTTCTTCTCTATTTCTCTAATAGGTTTATGTTCCTATGAGTTACTTTTTTATTTATTTGTATTAATTTGTGAACAATATGTAATACAGAGAGTACAAAGAGTACAGCAAAGGCTTGCGTGTACTATCCAGAATTTAAAACATTAACATTTGAAAATTCTTAGGATACCAGAGATTTCTTAAGTTTTTTCCTTACCAGTCTCTCAGCAACGGATCCCATGCAAAATATCTCTGAAGCTCCATAGTGGGACTCATTGATGGAATCTGTTCAGGATGCCTCAAAATTGCTGACAGAATGTGTTGTTGGTTTTGCTTGTAAATGGTTTGTCGCTATTTGCTTTCTAGAACAGAATCAGGTAGAACTCTCATGGTCACAATGTAAGCATTGAAACGCTTTGAATTCGCAAGGATATTCCTAAGTTATTTATGGCAAAATAGAAAAAAAAAATGGTACACGATAAGACATAGAAATTTCTACTGTCTTCATTTTTTCTTCATTTTTTAAAATGATTTAGGTATTGATTTATCATTTAATAAACATTATTTAGGGCCTTCTATATGCCAGACATGGCTGGGGACACATTCCCTTTCCTCAAGTTGCTTGTACTCTTAAAGCAAACATGTAGATAAATTAGATGCTATCTGTTAAGTACAGTAATTAAGTGCAAAATAGTGAGTGCACAGAGGAGGGGTTTCTGTCATATTTTGTATTGCTGATTTACTTTTCTTTATTTTCAAAACATCTTGATATATCAAATGAACTTACTTTTTCTGAGGCAGACTCAACTTACTCCACACCTATCTCTTCCAAGATATGGCTCAGTTAGTCACTGTTAGATCAAGGACTTTTAGAATCAAAGGTCACCTTTTACCACGCTGAAGATCAACACAATCTTGGGTCCATTTATCTATTTCCCTTGATGTCATGGCCACCAGGGAACACTATGTGTAGTGTCCTATAGTTTTCTTATTGTAAGGGCATTGTTCCCTTCTGTTCTCTCATTTACTTATCACATGTGGCAGCTCCTATTTTGCCTAGCCCAGTGACGTCTTCTTTTACAATGGTTCTGTAGAGGCAGTTGCCTGCTTAGACAAGTCTTTTGGTTTGATGGTTCACCTCTCAGCCGGTGGACATCCTTCAGCCATTAGGACCTGTCACATCTCTTTTTCATTAACTGTTCCTTTCAGTCAAACCCTGCACAGTTCACATTTCAGATATTTAGTACATATTATTTTTAAGAACTGATAATACATATTCTGTCATGTATGTGCTCACTCATCTATGTCAAGCATGCCTGTCAAGTACTCTTCTTCTATAATAACTAACTATAACCTTCAGTGAAATCTGTATTTCAACATGTTTATAAATAAATGCCAAATCTAGAAAAAGTTTTGCCTTGCAGTGACATTAACTTAACTTGCAGTGACATTAACTTAATGATACATATGCCTGTTACCTTCTCACCTGTCAGAAGAGTACATAACCCCGAAACACATATGCAGCCAAATTGAAGAATTAAGGAAATGTTTCATAGCTTCTATTAAACTGGGCTTTAAAAAAATCTAGCATTCTAACAAATAATAAAAACTACAGAAGCTAGTAATAATGCTGCATAGAATTTAACACAAGGAGAGATGTTTCTTTTGCATGTTATAGATATTTTAAGAGAATAGTTTTCTAAAGAAAGATATGTGTAGTATGTACATGTTTTATATTAAAGGAGCATCTGAAGCTATTGCCATCATGGACACAGGAATCTCAGTGGTTGTTATCAAAAGGTTTAATTGCGTCAATGTTCTTATATGTAAAATGTAATAATGACACCATTCCTATTAGAAATTATTAGGATACTTACAAAAATTCTTGAAAAATTAACATTCGTTCTCTAATTTGATACATAAACTGTTAAATTCCATCTTTTTTTAAAAAGCATGCCATATAAAGCACTTGTAACATAGCCCCAGCCTACTTCTCCAGTCTCATGGCTGGGCACTATACTTCTCAATTTAATTTTGGCTGCTACTCATGTTTTTGCACATACATACTATATGGATTAACACTTCTGTGTTTTTGATTTTGCTGTCTCTTTCTAATCATTTTCTGCTCATCCTTTAAGGCTCAGTTCAAGCTTTTTTTCTTCCTGAAGTTCTCACCTGGGTTGGATGCTTGATAATGTCCATGGCTTGATGACTTTGTTTTTTACACTGCCTGTTGTTCTGTTTATTTTTTGCCTTCCCTTTTTACCATGACCTTCTCGATGGCAAGGACTATGTTAAATTCATGTCAGGTAATAATGCCTAGTGTGATAATTAAAACATAGTGTCTTGTCAGTAATGGAATATATACATTAATATGTCAAAAGCTTTTATGAGTATCAAATAGGAAAGATGGTAACATTTCATTTTCTATTGGAGAAATAAAAGAAATTGAGTGAATTGGATAAAACTAGTGAGGTTAATGTATCTGTGGTACGTTAGTTCCCAGTGCTCCTGTGTATAAGATAAAACATTTATGTACATATATGATCACATATCATGGAGGTATCTTTATTTTAATGTCTAAGTATACTACTGTGAAATATATCTCACCTTAAGGGCTAAGCAGTATTAGTCCATTTCCTCACCATTAGAGTTTAATATCTGACTATCCAAGGAGATTATATGACTTATGTCTGAGATTTTAGGTTTGGTTGCATGTTTATTTTCGTGCTACTCACTCTTCTGATTGACAGTTTGTTGGTGATAGGGAAAGGACTAAGAAGTTGTAAGGGACTGCATACACATAATTATGGCAGAGTTATATAATGGAAAGTCAATGGACTTTGGAGTCAGAGCTGCTGTGTAGTAGCTGCAAAACATTGAACAAAGGATTTATCCTCTTTTTATATCAGTTTTCTCATTCATAAAATGAAGATAACAATATATACTTTGAATGTCATTAAAATCATATCAAATAATGATTGCTGTTAACATCTAATGCAGTCCCTGACACAAATTAGGTTCTCGAGATATGGTAACTGTTGTTATTTGCGAGGTACAATGTATGGTACAGGGTAAATCTATGAAATTTCTAAATTTAAATGCTCTGAAGTTTTCAAGTTTGAGTGTCCTAATTCAGCCCTTAGACACATCCCAGTTCAACTGGTTAATCTTTTCTCTTCCCTTTACCTTTGACTTAGTGATCCATCACTGAACTTGGATTTGAAAAATCATTTTCTTTTAATATTTATTTTCAATATTTTTTTTCCAACTTCAGGCAAAAAATGGGATCCAAGAAATGGAGTGTTGTTCTCTAGAATCTGACTGGATCTACTTTCATCCTGATGCTTCTGGTAGAATAATACATGTTGGCCCAAATCAGGTCAAGTGAGTATTTCATTAGTTATTCTAAAGTTAAAAGTAGCTTTTGGTAGCATTTATTAGCATCTTTACTTTTGCCAGCTAACTATTGGGCCAGTTATGGAATTAATTAGCTGCTTGTAGGGTGCTTTCTCAGAGTCTGGCATCTAGAAAACCTGACTCAACTCTTTTTGCCTCATCATTACTGTTTGTAAGTATTACAATTGAATATGTTTTTGATGGATGATATATGAATGAAAGACAATGACAGATTGGCTTTTCCTCATCAGGTCTTAATTCTCCAGGACTAATGATAAGGAAGGTAATTTGTCTTTGTTTTAAATGACAGTCTTACCACAGGGGACGTAGCAGATTGTTTGAAGTAAACCTTGTTTTGCTTTGTTTACCCACATCTTCCACAGAGTTGTTCTCTCCTTCCTTGAAACACTCTTCATTTGGCTTCCCTGACACCGCAGTTCTGAATGTTCTCCTCTGTAATTTGTCCTTCTTTGTGTGCTTTCATGCTCTTCTACTCATACTTTAATTCTTGGATGTCCTCAGGACTTGGACCCTCTTTTCTTCTCACTCTTCCTTTTTTTTTACTACAAGATTCTATATTCCCTTAGCCTCAAAGATCATGTATACACCAAAACTCTAAAAGTTATATCCAAGCCCAAACCTCTCATCTGAGATCATGCCATAAATCTGGAATCGTTCTTGGCACTTTCTTACCTTTTTTTCTTTCATCACTGTTCATTCTGTCTCTGTCTGTCTCTCTCTCTCTCCACCTCCTCACCCTCCCTACCTCCCTCTCGTGTGCACACATGCATACACACATATACTCCACATGTCCTGTTAATCAATCCACAGTTTATTTTGCTGCTAAATATTTCTTAAATATGGCTCTTTCTGCCCTTGGCCACTGTCACCATTTTCGTTAGATCATTGTCATCATTAGCCTAGACCATAGTAATTTACTATAGGACTACTTACAGCACTCCAAGAATCCACTTTCACACTCTTTAAGTCTGTTTTCTTAGTAACTAAGAGTGATTTTTAGAAACATTAACAAACACAAAAACCTAACCATTGAATTCCGCTTTAACCTTTTGTGGTTTCTTGTTGCCCTTGGCATGGTCTAAAAGACTGTCCTCCTACTCACTTTACTTCAGTCATGCTTTCTTTTCAGAAAGCGGAAGACCCCTTCCCTCTGGAGTGTTTACCCTACCTGTTCTCCTGCCTGTTTCTATTCATATTTTATGCCTCAACTTAAATGTCCCTGTTTTACAGAGTCCTTTCCTGACACCCTCATTAGATTAGCTCCCCCACATATTTTCATTGCACCCACTATGTAATCTTCCTCTGTAGCACTTACAGCAATTTAATTATTTGTGTGATTATTCGTTTAA